AGAGTGAGAAATCTGACTTGCAGATGTAAGTCTCATTACACAGGCAGTTGGGCTGCTGAGTGCTATTTGTGTGAGCAAATTTATTAAGGGAAAGAGAAGAGGATATATTTTGGACAGGTCAAACCCTGCTTCCGTATTTAGAAACAGGCTATTTTAAAACAAACAAACAAACAAATAAACAAACAAACCCTGGAGCTGGATATCTTATTCCTTAGTCTCACTAAAAAAGACCCAAACAAACAGGTCTGGAAGTTTTTTAGCTCAGTGAAGCAGTGCCTTTTCTTTAAAATTAGACCATTTTGTTTTGTTGTTTGTTTGGGAGATTTTTCCTAAGCAGTCACACAGTTTTGTGAGACAATTCTACAGTTAATTTAAAAGATGTATTGGTAGGAACCATGTTATGCATTGTCTTGCAAGAGCGACTCCTTTCATTTTGCATTCATTATTTTTGTGATTGGAATAACTGCTTTGTATTTCTTCCCTCAAATAAAATATTTATTAGTAAATCTCACACTGCACAAATTAATGCTGTTTGATTTCTTTCTGGGCATCTTCCTTTTTCAGCGTTAATGCTTAGACTCCCAACAAACCGTCTCAGTAAGTTGTGTGTCTTACTCAGGGAAAGACCTGCCTTTGGGCAAAAGACAAAAAGCCCAAAAGACTGAGCTTGTGGGAGGTTTTTGTTTGAATGCAGTGCTGGAAGGGGATGCACTGATGGCTGCTATCCTGCAGGTGGTACAAGAAAAATCTCTCCTCTGTTGGGTTTCTGAGTCTTGAGGAAAACATCCCCAGAGACTTCCCCGAGGTTACCTGGTACAGTGGCTTAGTGGCAATTTTATAATCTTGTCTTGAGTAAATAACAGCTGGTCTTGGCATGTTCCCAGGAGCAGAACAAGGAGACAGGAGCTGTTCCCTGCCTGACTGTGGGTCAGTGCAATAACCCCAGCTGCCAGTCAGAAATGCTGGGATCGAGCTGCTGTCCTCCAAGCCCAATGTCACCAATTAATCACTTGCTGCCTGTAACCTATCAATGACGATGTGCTGGGGTATTTTTTTTATTCCTGGCTTTCTCCATCCTTCTGCTGTTTATCTCTGAGGAGCTTCTGCCAAGCTAACTCCAGTGTTTCAGGGATTAATTCTCAGGAAAAGCTCAGAGAGGAGCTCTCAGCCAGGAGCTGATTAAATGCATCTGCGCTCAGCCCTGTGATACTCCTGGTTGGGTGAGGAAGACAGGATGCTTTGCTGGAGTAAGGCCAAGAAAGATGAGGGGCTCTGACCAGAAAGAACAGCCATGCTTGATATTTAAAGTGATGTTTTTGTTACTTTAGCCTTTGTCCAGCCACAAGCTCTGAAAGGCAACTACAGGCTGTTGTTAATAGGTAACAATTTGGCTCTAACTTTAAATCCTTTTAGTGAAATTCTGCAGGAGGTCAGTAATTTTGTAATCTAATTTAGGCTTCTGGGAACTTTTCGCTCCTCTTATTCCACCCATATACAACAAATGCATCTTCATTAGTCTGTGCACATGTAGATGCTCTATCTAACATTTGTAAGTACTGGCAGGAATGGAAAATACTTAGCAAGAGGAATTTTACTTTTCTCGTTTCTTTGGTTATGGTTTGTTCTTAAACATCAAACATCTTTTTCAATAAAAATAACTAATGTGTTTATTTTTACCAGAGCAGGGTAAGAAATTTGCATTAAAGAAATTACTCTATTCATCTTTTTTAGATCAGGCACAAGTTGTGATTTTCTCATTTGTACTTACTGTTCAAAAAGATTTACTGAATATTTTTTATGAATGAATACGTTGGCAATTCATCCACAAGGAGTTTGTTATGTGTATTAATGTAAACAATCAATTCTAATGGATTTCAATGTCCAAATATCGTTGATGACTTTAAAACCTGAAGGTAATTAGTCAAAACTGAGCTGTTTCTTTTCAAGAGGCAAGTCATCTGGCAAGACAATAGCAACTTTAGGGTGGTTTTTTCTGTGTTATCTTGCTATTATAAATGGGAGCTGTGCTCTTCTGCAGAAGTCTCTGTTATTCAGTGTTATTTGCCACTAAAGTTAGTGGGAACTTGTAATGGGACTGGGGTTTTATCCATTGTTTCAGCCAACACATGAATTATCCAACTCCTTCAGTGGTGTGCAGCAGGAAGGGAAGCAATGAAGCACCAACACAGAATTTCAGTGTTAAAACATCAAGAGTAAACACTCAGGTAAAATATTTGGCAATATCATCCAGCTTTAATTTTCACATTTTAAAGGTTGATCTTTCACGTTCCCTCAAGTTCTTTGTTTGCCTGAGTCCCTGGATAAAGTGCATGGAAAGTCAGAGGATATCTTATGTCATCACTATTTGTGTTAATGGCTTAGGAACCCACAATCCAATCAGTTAAAATAAACAACCCAGTGTAATAGGAGCATAAATCAATGAAGACTTCATTACTGAAACCTTAATGTGTAATCCATCCACCTACAGAGGAAAGGGATACTGAGAGGCAGCAAGACAAAACCAGAGGACAGTCTGATTTAGGCAACCCTGGTATTTAAAAAGGTGTTGAGAACAGTAAGTCTTCCTGGAGTCAGTAAATTTGATGGATACTCATCACTCCTGACAGCCTGCCCCTGGCTATTAAGTCCCCATGCTAAAAATGCCAAGAAACTCTTGGGAGGAGAGCTCTGAATGTTCTTTGTTTAGTCTGGGAGACTTGAGCCAGCTCAAATGAACAAAGACATGAATTAGGAAGATTAACATAGGACTAAAATGATATATTTTACCCAAGAGTATTGCTGCTCAGAACTGCTCTGACCCCGCTTGAGCCAGTGGCACAAATCTGGACTCCTCTAAGGTGAGGGTGGCAATACTTGGTGAAAAATGAGTTAGTGGATTTCATTAAAGCCACATATTCTGTTTGTCTTGTCTCTGAAAGGAGCAGCAATCCTATCACACTGAGCCTTTTGATTTCAACAGGGATCATAAAAGGGCTGAACTTTCATGTTCAGAGCTGAGATCTCTGCTTGTTGGGTTAATAACAAAGAGAAACAGCAGGCTCTCCCTCTGGGCATGGGCCAGCTCTGATGGGATGAGAGGGGCACTTTGCCTGTGGATTTTAGCTAAGAGCAAAAGCAAGTTGAGCCTTGGGAAAGCCATCAGTGCTCACAGACCCTCTCCACTGGATCCCCATTTCAGAAGTGATTCTCCAATCTCATCCTCATCTGACTCTTCTTCTTTCCTTCTTTCCCCTTCCCTGACCACATCTTGTTCTTTTCTCTCATTCCCCTGCTGATACTTCTTGTCCCTGTGGCTCACTTGGAATGTATACTGAGAAGGGAATGGTTGGTAGCTCTGCTAACTGACGAAAACCAGTATGATGGGAAACCTCATTTTTCAGAGATTTGGAGTTTGTTTTTGTTAATAATTATGACCAAAAAAAGGAAATCTAAGAACACACACTAGGTTTAAGATACAGAAGCTAGGAAACATTGGCACTAATGTAGTTATTCCATGCAGAAAATGGCATGTACAGTTTGCCAGTACAGAAGGAGATTTGGTTGCAGCGAGCTGCCAAGCATCCTACAGGATTTCTGTGATGGGTAGAAATCTGTTTCTCCAGGCTGGCAGTCACCTGCTCTGGCTGCAGACTGATCAATTTCCTGCTTCATCCCATGTCTCACCCAGTGCATACCCTCCCTGGTTGTAATTAAGGAGGAGATATGGACTGCAGTTCCCTAATTAGCTAAATAATCCTCAGCACCCTGTCAGCCTGTACTGTGACTTTTTCAGGGATCCATTGGGAAAAAAGGATCCATTTGTATTAATAGTCATTATGACAGATCTGAATTAGACTTTCCCTAATATTCTTTCTAGAGTTACCTTTTGATAGGTGTTACTTTTCGACTCCTTGTCTTAAATATACAGTTGCATAATGTTAAATATGTCAGAGAATGGTTGAATCAGTTTGGCTGGTAAAATGATCACATATACCTTGAACACATACCAGGTTAATTTAAGTTACAAGGTAGGTTAAGTTTCTGAAGCAGTTCAACTTTCAGAAATATGGGAGACATATATTTGTGAGTTTTCATCTTATTGTCATCATCTAATTGAAAATAAAGTGATTCCATTATAGTTTGTGTGATCCTAAGGTTCTTTGGGACCAAGGCTACTCAAATTCAAGTTTTGTATTATATTAGAAATTTGTGTGGTGTTGTATCTGTTCAGAAATAAAGACATCCAGATGTTAACCCAAGTCCCTCTAATTGGAATACAGACCAGTGATTAATTTTTTAATCAGAGCAGTGAAATCTGTTTGGAGCAGGATTAAAGAAGGGGTCTAGTGTATCACACAGATGGATGGTAGATATCATGTGTTTCCTTCTCCTCAGGTGCATTATATCTTATTTCCTTTAAAGCAAAATTTAAAGTGACTCTAAAGCAGAATGTGTCGTGTCAAAGTGTGGTGGTAACTTGGTCTTAAAATAAAATTATATTAGTTTAAAAATAAGCTTAGGAATTTTTCTTCTCAAATTCAAGGCTTCCACGTGGTTGCGGCTGCAAAGACAGGGGGATTTTCTAATCCCATCAGTAGATGGGATAAACATAATTTAAATATATTGTTCTTCAACACCAGTAATAAGAGATGCTGTCATGGAAAAACACCTCACATTTAGCATTTCTGTGTGATACAGAATTTCCTCAACTTTGAGGTAGCCAAATCAAATCAAAAAAGAGAGCCTTAGTTTAGAATTTAGATGTCAGTTTTACAGAAATTCTACTGTGTATTAAATACTGTGTAGTATGATATGTTAGAGGCTTTTAAAATGTGTCATCAATATGTTTCCACATATTCACTGTCCAGATGGCACAGAAGTGCTCAGTATCCAAACCAGGATCTCAGTGCCCCTGCACTGCATGATGCACTGCAGCCCTGTGCAGCACAAAGTGTCCTGCTCTGAACTGATCTGTAAATTTGGTGTGTTTCCATTCCAGAGCTCCTGTGACAAGGATGTCATTCTGAACATTCTCAGTGTCCTCACTGACTTGCTGTCTTTGGGTAAGGAAGCAAAGATTTGGGGCAATGGCTGTGGGTTAGAACAGAAAGGGAACTCATACTTGCATTTAAACTTGACCAGGTGTTTGCAAGGTGAAAAAAATATAAATTGTATCTATAGATCAGCAATCCTTACTCCTGTGTTTGGAAAACTGAACTTATTCAATATGTTAAAGAAAAGAAAAGGAGACTCAGAGATACGTTTCAATTTTTTCTTTTTAGTTTCGAAGATGATAATGGATTGCAAAGTATTTCATAAGCCCTGGCAGTCATCCCCTGGAAATGTTCACCAGTGCCATTGGACAGAGGACTGTGAGACAGGGAAAGGAACCTGATTTTCAGTGTCAGGGACCCTCTAATGCAGAGGGTTCAGCCTCTCTCCAAAAGGCACTTCTGCCTTGGGGCTGCAGGGAATGGATGTCACTTTATGTGCTCAAAGCTGCAAGAAAAAATAAGTGTATTGGAAAAAGAACTAAAAAAAAAAAAAAAAAAAGTCAAGTTCCTTTTCCTTTCTGCTCCAACACAAAAATATAATCTACTAAACAATTCCCAACCCAGCTAAGCTGCCAGGCTGTGGGGGCTGCATTGGTGAGTGCTGGATCCTCCTGGGTCCCCCAGTCCTGGAAGCCCCACCAGAGACACCACCTGTCCATCTGGGCCTCTCTTTTGGAGCCCTGGAGCCCTGTTCCTCAGCTGGGTATAAGGATGGCCTCCATGGGGAACAGGGGATCCTGCTCTCCCCTAGGAACCGAAGGAGCAGCATCCCCAGCCACAGAGCTGGATCAATGTTTGTTAACACACTAAGGCTCCCAGGGTTAGAGTGTGGTTCCTTTGGAGACCCACATTTATTTGAAAGCTGTCCCCAAGGCTTCCCTAGGATTCCTTTTCATTTGGCAGAAGCCCAGTGCAGCTTTAGTTCTTTCCTTGTTTAATTTCCAGTATCTAAGAAAAGATCACTGAGCCTTTTGCTGCTTTGAAACCTGTCGGTGTCTGGGCTCATTCCTCCCTGCCACATTTCAGTGCACACTGAAAAACTTGTGCAGCACGTGGGTTTGGGGAGACAAGGGCTGTTGTGGTAACAGGTTGTTGCTCTTGTGCTGAGATTGAGGCAGGAAAAGGTGAGAGACAGGATTGTAGAAAAGGGAAAGAAGGCTTTATTCAAAAGAACCACGCAGTTTTGTAGAGTAGTAGAATAGATTCTATTCTATTGGCTAACTAACAAAAACATCTTCCTCACACACTGTCCTTGAGAGGAACAGAAAAACAAAGTAAAAAACATCACCTGCAAATTGTTTATACTCAACGAGTTTTAACATCCTTACAACTCCCTAAAATTTCTCACAGGCCGCTGTGAGAAACGCTTGCTGTTCCTCTCTCTCTGTCCCATGGCATCCACAACAGGTAGCAGAGCACACAGTTCCACCATGCAGTTCCATCCATGGAGCTGCAGAGCACACAGCTGCATCCATGTCCCCAGGCTGGGGACACCAGGGATTCATGGCCAGTTCTCCAAATGCTCATGGCACTCAAATATTGCCTGAAGGCCACAGAAGCTCCATGTGCTCCTTGCAGACTGAGGCCTTGTGACAGCTGTTGTAGGGGGATACAGTATGGGTAAATGAAGGTGGTACAGAATGTAATCTTATCCCCTAAAGAGTTGCAGCTGAACCAATTACCAAAGATTAGGAGCAGGCCTGATGTTAATAGGCCACACCTGTACCAAATAAGAACGGTGTTATAAAAGAGTGGATTGGTGGGAACTGGAGTTAGATGACTACTGCAAGGACCAGGAAGAGTCAGTGCTTAGAGGAGATGCCTATGAGAAACATCACGGAGGTATGAAACTCTGGTGATATGGAATCCTTGCACTATAATGATACTAGAACTCTTGATAAATGAGACAACAAGCTGCGGCTCAGGGAGGGGATGCTCTGAGCTGTCTCTACTCTCTTCCCCAGGCACTGGACGGAGGATTCACTACATGGTCAGTAAAGGGGGCAGCGAGGCTCTGCTGCAGGCCCTGGCCACGGCTGCCCAGACAGAGCTGCCTGACCACGGCACCCTCCTGCCCCTGCTGCGCCTGCTGGCCAGGGTGGGCCAACGAGGTACTGCTGGGGGGCTTCTGCAGGGGGGCCAAAAACGAGGTACTGCTGGGGAGCTTCTGGAGGGGAGTCAAAATCAAAATCAGGATTATCTCATTGTAGCCTTCCAGTAGCTGAAGGGGACGGATATTGTAGTAGGGCCTGTTGGTAGAGGATGAGGAGTAATGGTTTTAAACTGAAAGAGAGAAGATGTAAGGAAGAAATATTTCATGATAAGGATAGTGAGGCACTGGCACAAGTTACCCAGAGAGGTGGTGGATGCCTCATCCCTGGAAACATTAAGGGTTAGGCTGGACAGGGCTCTGAGCAACCTTCTCTAGTGCAATTCATTGCAGGGGCTTTGGACTAGGTGGCCTTTAAAGATCTTTTTCAGTCTAGACTATTCTGTGTTTCGTATATGGTGAATTAAAGTGAGCCCCATGTTTTTCCATTTTCAGTGAGATTAATATTGGTTTAAATCATTGATACATTTGAATGCCTTTCTTATAGGATTTTGAGTTACAAGGCTTAATAAACATAATGTTTAGCAGCACAGCTGAAATGACCTGGCCTTTGCGATAGTTTAATTCTCATTTTCTTTTCACAGATAGGAAGTTTGGGCTTAAAGTGCAGAAGGCAGAAGCCACTGATATAATACTGAGCTTGACCAGAAGACACCTGGGCCACCACCTGCACCTCACCCACTGCCTCTGGGTGCTGAGGGTTTGTGCTTCTAATGGTGAGTGCCAGGATTTTCCTCTTTTCTTCTGTGTGACAGCCACCAGGGTTCTTTTTTACTCATTTCAATGCAAAGAAACATGATTCCTGGTAGGGTTAGTGCCTGCATGCACCATTAATATACAGAAAAGCACAAAAGCCAGAACAACCTTAGAAAAAGGTGTTCCTCAAGGGGCCTATGCAGCCTTTACAGTGCATTTCATCTGTGAGCTATGGAAATAAAAGTGCTGTAGTGAAAAATATTCATGGCAAAGATCTCCTATTCTGGAATATAGGCAGTCAATTCTTTTGCTCTGAGACTTGGGTACCTGAAGTCTCTATATAGTTGCCATTACCATAACAGCCAAATATCTCACTATTGTTGATTGTATTGGTCCTCAGAGCAGCTCCAGGAGGGTGGAGAAGCAAAGAGTGAGAGAAATCTGTTACTTATTCAAGGTCCCCCAGGAAGCAGATATTAGATCCTGGTCTTCTGGCTAGTATCCCCTCAGATGTTCATTCTCCCAGCTTTTCTTGCTTGGCAATGCCCTCATGTTAAGTGACTCAAGCAAAGGGATTTCCAGTATTCTCTCTCGGGATCGTTACAGATTCATACAGGCTATAAAGCACTGAGCTCGTCAGCACAAATTCCCTTTGCTCACTCTAACCCTTTCCTCTCCTTCCCTACATCCCTCACCCAGCAGATAATTCTTGATGGCCATCCTGTCTGCAGTCTGCCTCCTGAGATTTAGGTCTCCTGGCAGCCAGCCCTGCAGGTCCCCTCTGCCTGGACAGGAGCTGGCTTCATGCTTTGGGCTTCCTCAGGCAAGCAGCCAAGCCTCAACACTCAACCCCTCTCCCAGCGATAAGCAGTGTTTGCAAGTCTGAGTGTGGCTGAAAATGCAGCCAAAGCCAGAAGATGAAATGTGCCTTTATTTGGGTTTCACAGCTGTGCAGTGACCCTGTGCTGCCTCTCACTCAAAATTGTGATTTGCCTCCTTCCCTGCTCCCTGCTTCAGTGCACCTGCACTCAGCTCAGCTGCTGTTTCTGCAGAGGTTTTAGGATGCACACTGCAGCCTGCCCTCCTTTCTGTTAATGTCAGAGCCCAGAACCCCAGCTCTGCACTTTTGCTGGAGCATCTGTTACTCTCCAGGTATCTCCAGCACTCTCCATTAATAATTTTGAATTTCTGGCTTCTGTGGCCCAGCTGGGAAGCCTCAGGGGAGGTTAGGTGAAAATCAGTAGGGGGTGCGATATTAAACCAGGGGATTACATGATCTCAGCCTTAAAAATTATCGAGTGGAACTTAAAGGAAGCCAAAACCGTACAAAACTCTTGGGAATGCTTAGGAATGCTTAGGTATGGAAGCAGTAAACATGAATCCTTGCCTCACCTCATGCCCCACTCTGGGCTGCTCCCTTCACTGCCACCAGATGCTTGTGGCTGCTCTGGAGCAGGATGAGTTTGAGCAGCCTTGTCCACCATCCTGGCTCTAATGAATTGCCAGCCAGTGTGAGTGTAGCTGGCAGGCCTGGGAGGCTTTCCATCACAGGACAGCTTGGCAGGGACATCATAGGACTGCAGGAGATGATGAGCCCTCTGGCAGCTCTCTGATGACCACTGGGAGATATCTACAAAACAGCCAAAACCCAGCAGTGGGCAGGCAGCCAGGGCTCCTTCTGGCTGCTGTTGATTACTGATCCTTTCACCTTGGTCGCATCCATTTAATATTGCAGGGCTGGATTTGTTCCTTCATTACACAGAGATATCCTGTCTCATAGTGGGGAGGTCTGGCTAAACACCTAGGCTATGCATTAGGTATTGAAACTGATTGAAAAAAAATCTATCTAAAAAAGTTACTAGTTTGTTAAAAAGGATTAAAGGGAAAATTGGCCTAGATGAAATTAAACAGCATTCAGAAGCCTCCCAAACCCACTTCCACTCTGCTGAATAACAGCACAGAAAGCAAACCCTGCCCTTTAGGCCCCTATGAAATGAACTGTCCTCACGGAGTTGCATGTAGGAAATGTAGGATAAATTTGAGCTCTGTCACTTTTTTCTAGGAGAAGACCCTTTTGTAATTATAATCTGTTTTCTGGAGAAGACAATGTCTACAGGAGAAGGGGCTTTGGGGAAATTGGGAAAGAGCTGCAGGACTGGTTTTGCACCTGATTTTGGCTCAGGTTGTGTCCACAGACAGCTTTGTGCTTCACTTTCATTGTTTGTAAGGGGACCTGTAGAGTCCAGATGGGAGCCTAGAGAGCTCATAGCCCCAGGGGCAGCTACTCTTCCCCACATCTCTTCTAAGCAATGTTTGCCAGCTGCCTCCTTCAGAGCTGACTGCTTTTTTCCTTTTATTGCCATAGTTACCACAGGAACTATGCTGGGCATCAATGGAGCCATGGAGCTGCTTTTCAAAGTCATCACTCCCTACAGCAAGAGACACGTCAGGATGGTCAGGTAGGCAGTAGCCCCAAGGGAGCTCATCTTTCCAGGACAGCAAGAAATAAAATTCTGGTTCCACTTGAAGAGGCAAAGGGATCAGAAGTGTATGCAGTTTCCACTCACTTTAAACCTGCAGGGTTTTTTAAGAGGCAGAAATAGTTCCCTGAAGGACACATTAATGCTGTGATTCATCATATGATTCATGCTGGTGGCCCTTTATTTGTAGTGTGCCCTAGACAGCGATGGCAGTTTGATTGCAAGGTACCCTCCTTCATTTCCCAGACACAACTGGCTTTGGAGAAGCATGTGCTGGCAGCAGACAAGGCACTCCTGCCTCCCACTCAGCCAGAACTGCCTGCCACCATCAGCCTGGAGGGAGATGGAGTGGAATGGAGGCAGTGCTGCCTCATCCTCCATTTGCAGAGGGTCATGACCTGGTCATCATGATATTTTTGAAGTATGACAGTTCATACTAGTATTAATTTGTATCTGCTTTCAAGCCATTCCACATATTTTAAATAGTTCTTTTCTGAAGACATCAAGTCCATTTTATGTCTTCATCTCAGTGCTGAATGTTAGTCCCCAAGCTGTCTGTTGTGACCACTTCCTCAGATGCCTTTCAAGGCAAACTTTATAAGAGCAAGACACATATCTCTGGCTTGCTCTTTAAAAGCAGGAGGAGGAATTTGCTGCTGTGAGCTGTGCCCACACAATCCCATTTGCTTAAGCCACACAGAACCTGCCAGTTCTCCTGCTGGGCCATGCAATGGCTTGTGGGGCACAGTCCCTACTTGCTGAGGCATGTGTCAGCAAGGGCAGGGCAGCATTCAGCCAGTTCTGGCTTCTGCATGGACCTGACATGGGTGAGGTCCGTGGCTGGTGGTTATTGGGGAAGCAGCTTCAGGTAGAGCACGAGGTAGGAAGGATGGACAGACACAGCACAACAGTTTGGCCACAGTTTGCTTAGCTGTGGTTGAAATGGGGGCCAGTCACCCTGGATGTGTTAAATAATGTCCATCCTGCTGTTACCATCAAAGACTGATACCAGTTCTCTCAATTTCATGAGTTACACAACAACTGGGAAGGAATTTGAATTAATTTCCACCAGCCACCAGTGCTGAAGCTGCACATCAACACACAGCACTGTTGTTTGCTAAGTGCACCTTTCTTCTCATTCCTCTGCCTACATGTCTGGAGATACACAACTTTTTGGACAGTTTGCTTTTCTAAATAAGATACTGAGGGGGCCCAGCAGATGCACAATTTCCTGCAGCTGCCTGGTTGGTGGGAGCCAACTCACTTTTGCCTGTGCTTTTGGATTTCTAGCACAGTGCCAAGTACCTGGAACTGCTTCACAGCTTCAGTTCTGTTAGACAAAGTACCTGAGATTCCTCTGCATGGGGATACCAGGATGTTTCTTACACAGATGTTTGGATATTACCCAATCCAAAGAATACTACCACTAAGATATTATCCCTAGGATATCTGAGCATCCTTCAACATTCCCATCAGGCCTCATGTAATAACTTTAAGATTTAGGCAGCCTGTGGACATGTTCTGTGTATGACAGGGGTGTCCAGAATGAGTTAGACATTGGGCTTGGCTTCTGAGGCAACCAAAAGTGATTGATGGGTCCAAGACCATGCTTAACTAAGCAAATTCCACTCAGTTCCCTGTTTTCCTTCCTGTGGAAGTGTTGGCTGTGATTAGACCAGTGTTAGTTCTGCTTCTGTGACAGACCAGGATCTGTTTGTGATGGGATTTAGGCCTGTATCAGTTTTCTGTTGAGCAATGGGATTGGCTGACTAAAGGCTTTTAAAATGAATTTTGTGCAGAAGTGCTTTATTTACCATTGACTGTTTCCCATAGAGGAAGTGGAAACCTTGGTCTCTGTCACACCTTTGTAGCCTGGCTTCTTGCTGAGATACATTTGGAGATGCAGGGAGTGTTGCTGAGGGTTGCTGTAAATGTAGTCTGTAAAGCGCTCTAAAATACTCACTTCTAAGGGAGGCAATCAGAGAAACATGCTGCTTTTGATTTAAATGATTCCACATTGTCAATATGCAATATTTAGCTTTTACTTCCCTTTGTTCTGGTGTACAAGGATTCTTTTGAATTCTTCTATGGACATTTTTTTTCCATTTGGAACACAGACCCCCAGATTGCCCTCAAAATTGCCCTCAGCAAATCCAATTTTATTGCTAATGGGATAACCTATTAGCTATAGGGATAACCTAATAGCTATTTACCTATTACTGAAAATCTTGACTTTATTTTTCATTTGGAAAAGGTGTCTTGTGTATTAATTTTTGTCTACCTGAGCTTTCTCACTGCTAGTTCAGTTTCCTAATTTTATTTTTATTTCCTAAAATATTAATGCTCTTCTTAAAACATATTTTTCATGAGTGTGCAAATAGTGCATACAATCTTTACACAATCTTTTCACATGAAAAGATGATTTGGTTCCCACCTACTCTTGGTCTAATGAACAAGAGCCATAAATCAGCTGAAGCCTGGTGGCCACTCAGCTGGCCTGCCCAGGGCTCAGAGCTGAGCCTTTTGTTTCATAACTAGGGGCGGCTGAGAAGCTCAGTGGCACGCTGGAGACAGCCTGTTTCACGTCATAAGAACCACACAAGCCTGTTCTGTGTTAAAACACAATTGCAACACATTAAAAGGCACTAGTTTCTCATTAGTCAGTTGAGGCTCTGTTTGTTTGCAGTTCACTTGGAAGTGCTGCTTTCATTGTGGAAAGTGGCTTTAGAAGATATTTTTGGCAAGAACTTAGGTCTTGAGACCAGAAGAACAGACTGTAGAGTAGGTTACAGATCTTCTCTCCCAGCATTAGCAAATGCCTGGAAGAGCTGCAGTCTGAAAGCCCTAAGCATCTTTGCAGCTCATCAGAAATGGAGGTAGGTACATGTGGAGAAAATGTCCTTCCATGGTTTGACTTGCTCTAGCAAAAGCTTTGTGAGGTGACTGAGGTGGGGAGCTCATGGGTGGGTTTGCTGAGCTGGGGATAAAAAGGATAGAAAAGATAGAAGGGGTCATGTTCTTTGTCTAGCTCAGCATGTGCTCCCATCTCTCTGACACTGGTGCAGCTCTTCCCAAAGCCGCTGTGGCTATGCTGAAATTGGGATTGTGGTATTGGTCACAAAAGCATCTGTTTCTTTTCGCCTATAAGTTGTAGAGAGCACCAACCTCCAACCTGCCAACAGAGGAAAAACTCCTATGTTGTCCCAGCAATCCTTTGCCCCTCGCTTTGTATTTGCTCTTGGTACCTTCTCTCCACCTCATAACTATGTGCCACCATGGCTTGCCTTTTTGCTGTGAAGGAACAGCCGGCAACTGTGGGAGCTGAGATTAGCCTGGCTCTCTGATCAGCTGCCAGGAATGCAGCACTGAAAATGCACCACTGCTCTGGTGGGTGCACCCGCCTTCTCCTGCCCTGGGCAGCAGCAGGGCCAAGGTCACTTTAAGAATCTGCCCTGGAGAGTGCCCTATAGTGAGAGCTATTTATTTAGCCCGCTAAGATGTGGAAACAAGATCCATAGTTCTATTTATTTTTCCCAGTGGCAAAGCTCTGGGGTATTTAGAAATAGTCTCCCCATGCTCCAATTGACCTTCTCTGGGTACGTGCCAAGTAGCTCTGATTCCCCTGAGACTGTGACTCATGGGCTTTATTGGCTTTAGTTAGGCATTTGAGGTCTTCAGCTTGCTGGTGCCATGGCTGTGGATCTCTCCAGAACTATCCATATCTGAGGTAAAAGCTACATGGGAAAAACATGGAGCTCTCTGTGGTGTTGAGGTCTCTTGAGTTAACCACTGTGAAATCCAAGACTGAAGGCTGTCTTTCCCATCTTTCATGATGCTGTGCTGCAGAGAAGGCTTTCTGATACCTTTTACAGGGACAGTTTAAAATAAAGCCAGATGATGTTCTGCTTTTCTCAGCTCTGTTTATGTCAGTAGCTGGGATATCTGATAGGAGTCTGTGTGGGATGCTCAAATCTTCACTCCATCAACACCTTCTCTAATGTAGCATCTCTGATGCCTCGCACAGTGCAATAATCACTGCTCTTTTCACCTTTCATCCTTATTATTCCCTGTATGTTCCACAGCTTCCACCCCTCTCCTACTTTCCAGTGTCCCCTTTCAACACTGTTGCTTGTTTTCCCATCTTGTTCTGTGTTTGGATGGCTTGTGGGATGTGACAGTGGGAGACAGTTTGCTCTCTGGCCAGCCAGGAGCTGGTCCCTTCACACAACTCTGTCCAGGTTGTCACATATCCTCACCAGTGCTTTGGAGACCATGAGTTATCTGTGGCTTCATGTTGTGCAGGCCCTTCTAAGACTCCTCATGCCGAAAATTGAGGGTTTTGGTTTCAGCCTCTTTGATAATCTGAGTTTATTCTCCTTTCATAAGAGGAAGACCTGTGCCATTTAGAAAATGGCAAATGGTGGGGTGGCTGGTGCATTGGTCATTCCCTCCATTATGTTTTCCTTTTCTGCTGTTAAAAGGCTGGTGCACAGTTTTATTGAAGCAATTTGGATAGTCTGTTAAAATGTCTTTGTTTCTCAAACCTCTATGAGTACATCTATTTATCATACTGAGCAGAGCTGGCTCATGCTAAGTGTTCGCATAAACCTCGTATGAAAGATTACAACAAGAGTGAGTATTCATCAGAAATAAAAACTCTTTCTCTGGGTATTCAGAGTACTTGGCTTTCTGCATTGGGCTATTCCAGTAAAGTTTGACTACTTAATTAAAAGTGGAAAGTGAATAAAAAGGGTCTGGGAATGGTGCCAAATTAATTCACTAGAAAATGTGATATGCAGAAATTATCTGCCTTTGCTCATGTCCAGCATTACCCACTTCTGACATTTGATCACAATTCTTCTCATGTTTGGTGCTTATTGGATAGTTCCAGAGCCTGAAATGCTTGCTGATAATCTCCCTTTTCATTAAAGGGAGGAAATCCTCCCATGTAACTCTATTTCACCTGAGGTGGCTATCTG